TGATAGGAATGAAAGGTTTATATTTAATTAGTTGAAGGAGGATTAAATTTGCTGTAAAATGCTTCTTATTTCATCTTGATATCTTATTCACTTTTTGACATATAATTTTTTAAAGTAATCTGGATTAAACGAACAGAATTGTATTAAAAAACCTTAACGAGAAGATTTGTTGGAGTAAAAAAGCAATTTTCAATGATTTAAGTATTAATTAAATTTGCTTTAAAATACATTTTATTTTATTCGTGTATTTGAATTTGTTTTTGAGATACAAAATTTATTTCAAAATCTTATTAAAGATGTAATCCACCAAAAAGGCAAAAATGAAGATATATATACTTTTCATGACTAAAGAAATGAGACGTTAAAGACATTATGGTCAAACAGTACATTGACGTGTTAAATGTATTTAAATGTTATTTATCTATTGTGCAACCCGGAAATAACACGATTACAAATACAACAAAATTCCAGCAATTCTTGCACCTGATGTAAGAACTGAACAACATCTTAAACATCAAAAAATGTGAGGGGCAACTTTGTTATGGTGTAAAAACATGCCTTCTAACATTTTCATGTAAATTTTTGTTCTATAAGGTTACATTACGTTATTTTTTGATTATGGTGAGTACTGGTAGTTCATGGGAAGTAACATTCATATAAGAGGCTCAAACTTTCAATTAAAACTTTATTGATTTGCAACAAAAATTGTGTCAGTAAAGCTTTGATGAGAACTTTCCTCTAAATTTAGACAATTACAAACAAACCCAGTTATGTTACATAAATGATTTGTGTAAAATCTGATGATGAAGGTGGAGTGGAATGAAGAGTGTGACCGCAATAAAAGGGTCATTTTCCTCTGAGCATTCGAATAAGTAATAATGATGCGGCATGGTTGCTGGCGCGAATGTTTATTTCGTGTTCGTCTGGGTGCCTGGTCGCGATCTCTTACTTTACCGTTCTTAATTGCTGAAGAACCATGAGTCTCCGACGACGTCCGGGAGTGAGATATGCGCCCCTGCGTTGTGGTCACACGATGTTGTTGACCTGTCCACGTAATCAGCGAGCGGCCCGGCCGATAATCGGCACGGATGCCTCCGAAATTCGCAGACGCTGCCGGTCCGCGGCATGGCCGTCTCGGCCCCGTTTATATGTCTTCATAAAATAACGTCCGGGGCACAATTAAAAAGACCGCTTAACGACTCGCGCCTAAATTATTTACCTGTCCGGATGGTGGCAAAAACAGCGGCACCCGAATGGCCGCATTAATTGCCCCCCAGTTTAACCAATTATCCGATCGACAACCGAACCTATATACGGGGTGGACCGCCGGACCCGAAAATAATAGACTGAGATGGGCACACAAAGGACGGCGGCCGCTCTGTCACTACCGTAACTTCATAAACGACTTCACCGTGATGGCGCCACCATAATGATATTTGCTTTCAACTCTTACACGACTTCGACTTCGCAATTAACAACGGTAATTTAGTTTTTCTGCTTGCAGCTCTTATTCTTAAATGATGGTACCTTTCACCTCGTAAATGGATTCGTATACATTTTTCATGCTATTTAGATGTTTTAATTGACCAAGTTTTAACTATATATAAAATCACATAGACACCTAAACTTTTTCCATCACAAGTTAACTTAAAATAGAGACAAAAACTGCAAGGTAACTTAACTAGTCCATCAACCACATTCTCAGAGCGGAAAACGAGATGATTACAGATTACAGCTCCATCTCAATTTATGCAGCAAACCGCCAATTTAATAATTTAAAATACACACACGCGAAGTCTATCGTTTCAACAATAACGAATTGCTGATATATTTTATGTCAGCGCGGGATGTTTTCATACATAGGGTTCGAATTGAGATTTGCATATCGATCGATCACGATCGGAAATCTGGCAAAGCCGATGCAAGATGATATGCAAACGTGCATTAGAAATTCAGAGTGGAGCTGAACACGTAACAACCACAAATCGACGCCGAAGGATCTGTTAGAGGACCAAACCAACCGTATCATGCAATTTTCTCATTATTATCCGTATGGGCGATCAAACGTAAATGCCCGTATCGCATTCAGATCATAAGATTAATATCACAACAGAAGTTATCCGATTGAGAGTAAAAAACGTTTTACGACAAATTTACACTTAATTTTTTTATAACTTATTGTTTCACCTTTAACCCGTTTATGAACACAGTTCCAATAATGTGACACCCTCGTTTTTCTCTCCTCCACGCTTTGTTTCCAGTAAACACGTTGATTAGCGAGAATGATTGTTTGATATCTATTATTTTGTGTTGTGTTTATTGCCCTAACAATTCTCAACACATTTCCATATATCATCTATAATAATCAATACGATAAGTACAAAAAACACTTTTTCCCAAAAATTCCAATATTGGAGCTATGGGCTAAATGGGTCCATAAAGATTTTTACTAATTTTAGACCACCCTCAACTGCAGAAGTCATTCAAGTAATAGAAGACGAGGATTTTTGGGTCGTTAATGTTTTTATCACTCATCCAGATGATGGTGCTGAAAGTGCGGAAGATAGCGGCAATGAAGACTTCTGCAACAACATCAATATCTGGATGGTCGACAGCTTCAAACGGAAGCTATGGCGAAAATTACAAATCAAGGACGGACTTTCACAATTAGTGTAAGCGACACTGACAAAGAGTCAAACAGTGACTATGAACCTTTGTCAAAAATACAAAAGAAGTTACCGAAAAAAAGAATCTGGAAAAAGTCCAATCTTATTCCTGGGTTTCCGAACTTCCTGTGGAATGCTTTGAGCATTTTCTTGATGATAGTATTATATCATTTTTGGCAGAAATTACGACGTTATATCCACACAAAAGGGTAAACTTAATTTCTGAATTTCCAATGAAGAAATAAAGTGTTTTGGCTATACTACAATTATCTGTCTCGTGTGTTGTTCCTAGATGTAAAATGTGGTGGGAAATAGGAACCAAATCTTGCAATGTGGCACTAGTGAATTCTACGAGAAGAAATAGATTCAAAATGATAAAAAGATATCTACACTGTGCAGACAATAATAACCTTCTTCCGGGTAACATATTAGCAAAATTACGAAAATTGATGCAAATGCTTAATTCAAAATTTTTTAAATATTCAGTACACCAAGAAAGGCTGAGTGTTGATGAAAGTATGGTTCCATACTTTGGTAAGCACAGGGAAAAACAATTTTTAAAAGGAAAGCCGATACGATACATTTACAAGATGTGGTGCGGATGAAGAAGAAAATGTGACAACCACAAAAAAAGTAAGAAAACCAACTATAAAGGAACCAGCATTTGATGCAGGAGAGTCTGCTATACTTGGACTGATAAAAGTCGTACCAAAACAAACTAGTAACTCATTTACAGGAAAAAGATATGGAGGTACAAGTACTACCAAATAAAATAGAAATGAAAAGTGTCCCATAATGCCTTCAAAAATGGTAGAAAAGGACAGATGACTATTATACAGATATTGCCAATAAACTAACCTTTAGAAGCTGGCATGATAATAGAATAGTTCTGATTAGTATTTATGACTCTACGCTTACAGAATGTAGAGTGGAAGTTCTGGCATAAACGGGTTAATATAGCAGCTAATGTGATCATCGACACCAAAAAGGTTGGCAGGAACGTTGTAATCTGACCGGAAGAAGTCAACTTAGTTCCTGGGAAATCAAAAAGTGACTTGAGGGTCTTCACCCACTTCATGACCAGAGATCTACATGAAGCTGGGGAACACACAACTTTGTAGAGAGTATGAAATGGAAGACAAGACGGTAAGTCATATTGTTTGCGACTGTCCCAACCTCGCGTACTTAAGGGAATCCATTTTTGGCATACCATGGTCCCAAATTTCGGACATAAAGAAAATACCCTTCTGTTCTATTTTAGATTCATTAACAGCTTGGTCTGTTTTTTTTTCTTTGAATGAATTCACCCCCACATGAAACTACATACATATATACAACTTGTTGTTTATATTTGATTATATCAAAGTAACAGTTACATCCTTCTTGATAATTGTTAAAAGTAAATGTCATAATTAATCACCGTTGTAATTGCAGATTATTCAAACGCCTCTCCCTATTTGGTACCGAACCATTAATAAAGTTATTAAACCAACATTCTATTTATGATAATCTCTGCTTTCACATCGTGAATAAGTAATTGCTTTTGTAAGGTTCGTAAACCCATTTTCCGCACTGGAGGATTGTATCTTCCCGCTTCGAAAAGCGGTAGCAAGAAATCCTTCTAAATGCTCGGTCGCGTCTATGGGAAGATTAGGTGCGACGGTTATTGTAATGTTTCCACGTAGTTAGTCGTGTGGTAAAATTTTTTTCAAAGGACCAAATGAGCCCTAAGTCCACCAGGTATTATACAAGTACCCGACTTAGCTAAGCCTAGTTCAAAAAAAAAACATACTCTATAACCTTTTTGTGTAACAAAACGATTTTGTAATATAAAGAATTTCTTTGAAGTAAGATTTAAAATAAATAAATAAAAAAATTATTATTTCTTCCTTCATAAATCATTTACTAAAAAGTTACGTTTTTTTCGGACATTTTAACGGCACTTTTATATAACTCGTAAATGTCAATCAATAGTTATGTAAATTGATTGCTGTTAATTATGAGCGATAAAACTGGTACTCTAAAAAATTCCAATTAAGTAAAGATTGGCGGAGTTTATAGTCTTCGCAAGGTCGCAAACTCGATAACAAATTTTCATATACAATGTCACCATGAGAATTTTCAGGACAACCGCTGTTTGCGAAATAATTTCTCGGATGGCAATGGAGTTTATTGGCATAATAATCGATACTAAATGCTCATAAAATAAATATTAGGTGTTTTATAATCGTTTAATAATACAATTTAAGAGATTCCTCGAATTTTTATAAGATTATGTCATCAAAACATAAATAGGAATTAATTAAGTTTTTATTTTTTAATTAATTAACTTACCCTGTTGGTGTTGGTGGATGAAAAGGTCCAGTTGATGATTGCATTCTGTGATCCCAGACATACCGACCCTCGTGGGTCCTTTGATCAACGGGAAGAGGTGCGTGAAAAGCTGCGAAAGCCGACGGAAACTGAATCGGCAGTCCTGCAGACATAGCGGCCTGAAAGTCCGCCTCTTTTTCAGGCATGTCACCCGCAATCACAACATCGTACCGCAAACACTCGCGGTCCTCCTGCTTTTTTAACAAAACAACGGTTTACGTCTCCTTAACGAGTCGCGATTTTTTCCTCTTCTTTGGCACACATCAGCGCGGCACACTACCGACAAAACCAATCAAGCGTCATTATCGGCCGCACAGATAAGGAAACGACGCGTTTTTCAGCTAGACTCGGAACGCTTTCTACGCCCGGCTAGTGATGATACCGCTAAGACTGAACGTCCGAAAAAAGAATCCGTATGTCTCAATTGAGTTGAACACAATCAAAAGTGGTGGACGCGTCGCGTAGAAGAACAAAAATGGTAAAACGTGTCCGCATAGAAGTACAACAACAATAACACATGACGAACAGAACGTGTGCGTGCGTGCGTGTATATTTAAAGAGTACGTACGAAGAAGAGTCCACAAGCCTATGGTGTACGTCTAAGAACTAACTAGAGGCGAGAGCACGAACGGTTGACAGGCAGACCTTACAACTCAACTAACGAGTATAGGAGAAGGGAATAAAGAGGGAGGGGCCAAGTCCGGGCAGACTGCGACGGAATGGCTCGGCATTCTATATATTTTCGAGTTCTTCGCCGAGGCCGGTGTTCGGGCCTCCGCCAGTGGTGGAGACCACGGGCGGGAATTGGACGTCTTAATATTGTAATACAGGTAATTATCGGCCGACCTCCCTTTTCCCCCTTCCTCATCTTTATCGTCTTTTCCCTACCCATTTTTTCTTCTTTTCCTTTCCTTTCCTTTCCTTTAGATTTTGCTGCTTCTCCGCTCCGTTACGCCGATGATTGATACCTTCGATCTTAATTCGTTCATTAAAATGCAAACGCCGTCCGATCCGGCCACCGCGAGCGCGGATTCGCAAACCCTCTTGATTACTTTTCTGTAATTTATTAAGGGATTACGGCACGAACGGTAGTCTCTGTGTTACAACAACTGCGAGACGCTTCATTTTTATGTACTTATCGCGGTTAATATCGATTAAATTAAGATCTTCATTTGCCCAGATGTAATCTGAAACTCGGAACTTTGTTAAGTTAAATCAGTCGTATCGAACACCACTTTAATGGTTTCTTATTTATACACATTAAACTTTCTGCATTTATCAAGATTTAAAAACACCTTTTATAACTGACTCGCATAAATGATTGAACACTGGCGACAGCAAAAAATAATAAATGATAAATAATCCAACAAAAACGAAGAATAATAAACATTCTTAGACAGGATATACACACAGGGTGAGTCAACGTATTCTCAATCATCTCTTTTACTACACCCTGCCATTTCGAATTTAAACCTTTTGAAGGCTTCGAAAGTTAATAAATGATGCAAGTTAAATACATAACTTCAAAGTATTTAAAAATGACAAATTGCTGTAACAATTTTATTTGAAAACGCCTTCGCTCTTGGGATTTTAGCACTCATAATTCGTATCTTTAATTATTGAACACATATACTCAGCGGCATAAAAAAACGCATCACCTAAAATGACGACCAGCTTCAAACTGTTTTTGCACATTTTTTTTATTTGAAAGGTCTACCCTGTGCCAATATTTCTGTACGTGTCTTCCTCATTTTGATATATCTTCAATTTCAGCAATGGTGAATAACACTAATATGTGTTTTCTTCCTACACTTTGAAGCTTGCTGTGTGGTGCATCGACAAAAGATATAAATTTTAATCATAAGGAGCTTGTTGTCTTGTTTGTTCTGATCACTTCTGTTTATTGTTCAAGTTTCTATTGTTGTTAACACCAAAGTTACAAGCTCATTCTATCTATAAACTTTAACTTACACAAACTTCTGCATTAACATTTTTTCTTTAAACTTTGCTATTTTTGTTTCAGTGCTTTAGGATGGATCTCCGGCAACCTAGTAGTCAAGTTACTGCTCAGGTAATCAGGTAATCGTTTGACGTTTGTATTTATTCCCAATTAAACAGATGTCAATTATACAATTATTTCTTCAGTATCTCCGCAAATTTGCTCAGGCTGTTCGTGAATTCCATTTAGCTGTCCCATTTAATAACCATCCTAATCTTTCCTTCTGGCTACTCAGATACCGGGATTCAAAGAATACGTTTCTTCCACTTTTGTTTAGCAAACCGGGACCATGTCTCAGCAAGAAATGTAGAAGTAGTAGTAATCATCGCATTTTTGTATATCATTTTTCCGCTTTGAGTTTCTTACACCTTGCTGTAATGAGGTCTTATAAAGTAGACCCTGCACAATTAGTCAGACTATCAGTATTTGCAAATCCCGACAGTTTGATTGATTATGAAGTGGTTGTACCGATGAAATGATGGGAAGATTGAAGCAAGAATTAAACATGCATAATTCTTCGTATCAGTTTAAGCCACATCCGTTTATGCCCTTAAAGTAGCAAGGAGAGGGCGACTGAACCCTTTCTTATCTACTTTCGTATTATTTGCTAATTGAGATAATTTTGCCTTAGTTTTTGCCGTCATCGCCGTGAAATTATCTTTATCTCCCATCGTCACCTACAAATCTCTGTTCCATAGACAGGAACGCATAATTCTTATTAAGTTATCCCTCCAGCAAGTCATCTTTCCAGACGAAATGTCATAAGCTTCTGGACAAGTCTTAATGTGCTAATGAGATCATTTTTATAGTAGCTCCAGCAGAATTCTTACCATAATTTTGGATGGACTAAAAAATATTCGATTTTTGTTTCATTATTCCATTAATCATTATTAATCTATTAATTATTATTGAATACTTTCATTTTATTGCCTAAATGAATATACAAAATTGATTTGAATACCATCTTGGGTTCTAGTATCCTTCTTGGCTTATTCGCAAATAAGGCTTAGTTGAGGACTTCAATCACTAGAAGACTGTTTTTCTACATTCTCACTTTTTTAACATTTAGTAGTACTGTAATAGTCTGTTGTCTCTTCTTCTGGACAAGTTCTTCCACGTTTTCTGAATCCAAATGTTCCTTTCTCTTTGATTCTTTTTTCTAGTAGTTCTAACAGAACTATTTCTCTAATTTTCAATAACTTGACCAATAAACTGGGTAGATAATTTTTTGTTCCCGAGATGTGACGCATTTTCTCTAGTTCTAACCTCTAGTATAATTTTTGGTTCATTTCACATACGAAATAATTATTTAAATACTTTATTTGCGAATTCTGGGTCATTGTCACTATGCAATATGCATGGAGCTCTAAATATTGCAAATCATTATGGTGTATAGCATCTTCTCTTTGGATATCTTAATTTGTTACCTTATTTGTGTCAGAAAGTCTTCGATCAATATGTCCCCATTCATTTGCTCAATTCACCAATTAATCTTTGCATATTTGTCCTGACGGTAATTTTTGAAAACACTGTAACGTATTTCTAGGTACTTTATCGTCTTTAATTTTGGATAAAGTGGCCATCACAATTTGTTAAAATTTCATACAAAAACTGCAAAAACTACAGCTACTATTTTCTTTGCCTGTACATAAGTTAATTCTGGTGGGATCAGCTATGTGCACTTTTTGGACAAATATTTTCCACTCTGTCTATCTTCCTTGTTTTTCTTCCTAGTATTTTCTTTTTTCTGCGGCAACCCAGCAATCACCTAATTCTTGTTCCTTCTCGATCGTGTTTTCGTTCTAGTATCCTAAACTTACATTACTTGCCCATCTGACGCCATTCTTTGATTGGGTCTCCACCATGTAAGTTGTTTTTTTTTATCTATTTTAACACTGGTACAACATTTAATTTTTGTCTGATCTTACTTCTTTACGTTGCAGGCTTTGCCATATTTTCCCCAGAACCCACTTTCCGCTCCCTTTCTTACTTTACCCATCTCTTGTTTGTTCTTGTTCATAAATCATCCATTTTTCATATTCGACAATCACATGGTTGCCAATCTTTGTTGTTGTTCCTTTTACCTCTATTTCCATCTCCTTCCTCATCATTTCTCCTCCTTGAGCATTCTATTGTCATTCGTCAGCTGTTTCATTAGTTCATTTTTCTTGTACTTCCAACTTCATACATTCTCTCTCCTCCTACTGCTTCTTATTCTCCTGAATCTTAGTTGTTTCACTATGTGATTTTTTGATAATTAATTCATTCAACTCCTTGCACGAAGAGCTGTTAGTAGTTCAATTGTCTTCTTTAATTTACTCTTCCAGTACAATCTTTGTATGTTGTATTTTTTTCATGTATTTATTAGTTGCTTAGCCTACTTTCCAATATCTCACTTATACTCAGATTCTCAAAATTTTCAAACTCACATATGAGCATGGAAATTTCTTGTGGGGATGTGGATATGTAAGTATATTTTGCACTTGCCATTGTTAGCAAGAATTACTAAACTTTGTGTAGTGAATATTTTCATCTCAAACATTTCGTGCACATTTCAAGAAATTCCTAAATGTAGTACTACTAATAATTGATTCAGAATTTTTATTTATAGTCAAAAAAGATTTAAAATGTATAATATAAACCAATTTAAAAATATTAAGAAAATCATTTCTAAAAAAACGGTTCATTTATCACCATGTTAAGTTATGCAAATAATTAAAACCGTAAAAGTATAAAAAATTATATGTAAAAATTTCGGAGAGAAACCCAGGTTGATTCTACGCCACTGGCCGTTATACGGATTGTCTTTTTAGTAACTTCATTAATCCTAGCAGAGTCTGAACGGCCAGAAGGCGGCTAATTGTGTGAGAGAGATGATCGGTAGGTGAACGAGAAGGGAGAGACCGAGAGGTGCTTGAGGACGCTCTTAGGCGGCCGAATGGACACTTCAGGCCACAACCGCTTATAATTTCACCAAATTGGTGTCTTTTTTTAAGGCTCGCCCGTGGGTATTGTGTGCGAGGCCGAAATAATAACAAGGAATCGTTACAAACATCTGGTTATGGGGTGGAATACCTGCCCATCACCGATCCGATTTCGACGAAATCCCTCTGTCGCTAACCATGTTGCCGATGGTTAATGTGTTAATCTCCGCTTTCGGGTCCGTCCTCGCCTGTTTGTTATATTCCGACTTCAACGAACTGTCTGCAAAAAATAATAGACGAAATGGAGAAGGTGTGTTTACGATTCTAGTTTGGAACGACTTCTATTTAAAAAAAAATCAAGTTATTTGTTGGCAATTAAAGTATTATCAAAACTGACCTTTATAACTGTCGTCATTGATTTAAAAGGCAAAAGACTTATAAGTTATGTAGTTCAAGAGATAACAATGCACTTAATTCTTACGTGAACTTTGTTGTCATTAAGAGTTATTTCATAAACAACTCATCTCAGAGTACATAATGAGACATATTCACAATGAGCGTTTTTTTATTTTGAAAACCATAAAGGGCATAATTCATGGTTAATTATTCTTAATTGATTTAAAAACGAAAACATAAAATAAGTTATTATTTTTCTTAACCAATTTAATAATACCCGCAGCTTATACCAGTATACCATT